GCCAAATTAAGCTAAAACCAAACCATTTGTTACCCAAGTGGGCCACCTTCATCCTTTAACCTTAAGCGATCTTTTCAAATGTTACAAGCCCAGGTGAAACCAGTTCAAGTATAACCAAACAAACATATAAGTTTGGGAAATTAATTCATGTGCTCAGCCTAAAAGAATCCAAAAAATATTTTGGAATCTATAATTAAGTATTTCATGTAGCTTTTTTAGCTCTCCATAAGTCCACCAAACCACTAGAGTTCTACATATTGTTTAATCCTAAAAACAAAAAAAAATTTGATTCAACCCTAACAAATCAGATAGGCAACCATTGCTATCAAAACAAACACAAGATACTCTCATAGCCTCAAGATTTGAATTACAATCCTATCATTAACTAGCTAAAGAAACTAACACTAGGTTGGTTTATAAATAACTTAATCACTAGTTGGTTGGGTTTAAATTTTTTGTCGTGATACTTTCCTCAAGATCCTAAAAATTATCCCAACTTGGAAGGAATTCACATTAGGTTCAGATATTCCATAATCCTCTCTTCATTTTGTTTTAGCCTTGGTCTATTATGAACCAAATTGCAATTCTAGGCTAATTTGATAGTTAGATATGCTCAATAAGAAACATTGATCCTTTATAATGGGGGATTTTAATAATACTTTTCTAAATCCATAGAATAATACTTTGCAAAACCCTATTTCTTCATTGACAACCTCTCTCTTATATGCCTAAGGTATGAGGAAAAATCTTAATTGGAATGAATGGTCATGATTCTGTCATTTTAGAAAATCATTCATCAGATCCAAAGTTTAATGCCACAACCAACCACAAATTGCAACACATGACATGACCATGTGTGTGGCTAATTGGGCAAGAAAATAAGACAAATTTAAAGAATTTATTAGAAATATAATAAAATTTATTAAAAATCAAATAATAAATTATAAATGAAACTTCTCGAAATAAATATTAAGGCCTGTTTTCAAAAAATGAAATCAAGAATTTGTCTAATGATAATGAATTAAATCATTTTGATTAAACTTTTCTAAGACACTCTTTAGATCTTTTATGTTTTTTTGATGAATTTCTTCGGAGAAGTTTTAATCAACGAATAGGAAATTTGTATTTCTTGCCAAAATATATTAAATAATAATGAATAGAATTATTTAAAAATCATAATGTATCAAAATATATTCAAATAACATTAAGAAGATATTTCGGGGCATCATTGATTTTAGATATAAAATCTTGGAAATTCTTGAAGTATTTTATCCTGAAAAGTAGCTAAATTAATTTCTTGAAATAAAGAATTATATTATTCAACCCTTACTTTATAAATTTATATTAAATCAAAATTAGAAAAACATTCACCATATTTAATCTACTCATAACTAAGGATTGAGGATTAAACTCAAAATATTTTAAAAAATTAAATATCTTCTGAAATTTAAAAGTTTTAAAAATAAATTAGATCGTAGAAAATTCATCTAGTTTCTAAGTACTCTAAATTATTATGGGAAGTTTTGTATGGTTGTCTAAACTTGTTTGTAAGTTTTCATAAACTCATGAAGTTATTTGAATTTTAAATAATTTATTAAAACTAAAATTATTTAAAAATGCTAAAAAAATTAATTTAATTTAATTTTAAACAAAATTTTTACAAATATGTTTCTTTGTGATTCCCAAACCCTAGAGAATGTTTTAATATTTTTTATAGTTATCTTTTAGAATAATTAAAATTTTTCTTCAAAAATAATTAACAAATAGTAATTAATTTAAAACAAAATTAATATTCTCCATAATTTTATGAAATATTGCTAAGGTAATCCATGCCTTTAGAAAATAAATTTATAAAGTTCTTGAAGTTATTTGAGCTCAAGATAACATAAATAATAATTAAAAATATATAATTAAACTAATCTCTTTAATAAAATTAATATTAATTAAAAAAATTAAGAAAAAAATAATCTCGATGTGGTTTGAGATATATTGAATGTCACCCTACCCTTTTGGGTGAAATGTGCATTTTATAGTATATAGGGTGTCCTAAATGATAGGTTTGCCCCTACGATAAATTTATATATTTTAAAGTACTCATTAAAAGTTCAAAATTGAACTTAAAAAATAAATCCCAAATGGAAAATAAAAATATTAAAATATTAATCACTTTAAGTAAAATAACCCATAAGTAAAAATTAAACCTCAAATTTTAATTAAAAGCTCAAATATTAAAGATTTAATATAGATTTTCCACATACTCCAACACACTTTATATTATATGTTAGTGCATTAATTTTAAATTATTGGTTAAGATTATTTGCCTTTATTATTTATTTGGTGTGATGTTGTAACGTTTTATGATATATTATCATGCATTGTCATGTGGAAACATACATCTTGCTTCGAATGCACATGTTTTCTATGTTGACTCTATTTTACAAGGGCCATTGTAAGCTTGGGTGCCATAATGAACCTAAGGTTTTTCTTTTTTAGCACAAGTATTTATATTTTGATTCAAACAAGTCTATTGAGATGGGTTTTAGAATAAAAACCTAAACAAAGGTAAAATTAAACTAAAAGAATCAAATTGAACAAGCAGATTAGGTTTGAATGAGGATGAAGTAGGACAAACCATCAAATATAGATAACTTAAGGTTTAGCTTTGTAAATCTTAGAGGACTCAATAGGAGAAAGTAAAGACCCTAATGGATTGGTCAATCAAGCTTGTAGGTCTAGGCAAGATTTTATAATAGTAGAGCTTAGCCATTAATTTTTATTTGCTTCTTTGTATGCTAATGAAAATTTTAGTTCTCTCATCAACTTAATTTCATATCCAGCAAAAAAAAGTTAGCAACAAAACACTAGAAATAAGTTCTTTTATCATTAACTGTGTGTAGTGACCATATTTTACATCTATAGTTGAATGGATATGATTTACTTTCATCGAAAGGACAAATTTCTTTTATTGATAAGCAATAAAATATTTCAAAAACTAGTAACATGCAATATAATGTGTGTGTGTGTGTGTCTACACACGTGTGTGTGTGTGACACATACACATATTATATTGATATAGAGAGAGAGAGAGAGAGAGAGAGAGTTCTTATGTATTTACATGCCTATTACCTCGGTTAGGATAATATTTATAAAATATTTTAATCATATCAAAATATTTGTATGAAAATTAATATTTAACTTCAAAAAAATTAAACATCATGATATTTTAATATAACTAAAAAATTATAAATAAATTTTAAAATTTAAATGGTGTTTGAGAATGTGTATTTCACTTTAAGAAATTAATATTAGTGATTTTTTTTTATAATTTAAAATTTTAATGTCCTATAATTATATATATATATATATATCAAAATTTCAATATTAAATATATAAATGAATAATAATTGTATCATATGTATGTAACTCTCGTAGTTCTTTTAAGACTCAATGCAAGCCAAAACCTTATTCATTTTACCAACCCTTTTTTTTAAAATAAATTTTTTGCACGGCCAAAAAACCACACATGTTAAATATGTTTGATCAGATTTAAGGTTTGTTTAGGACAATTTTCTGCCTACTTTGCTTTTCAGACTACCATCACTGTTCTGTTTGAGGGAGCTGATTTCTTGCTATTTTTTAAAATTTCTGTGATAGAAAACTGTTTTTTTCAACATGAGTTGTTAAAGTGTGATAACTGCTAGAAAGCAGTGCTCTAACTAAGATAAGGATGATGTGTTTGGGAAGGCAGTGCGGTTGTGGTGTGGTGTCATACTGTAGTTTTTCTTGTTTGACAAAACAATTTTTTTCCTAGGTTCTCAAAAAGCTGCAGCTAAAAGCTGTGTTTCCCCACCAGATCAGGCCACCTGTGGCGGTTGCTAGAAAACTACGGTCTGACTTTTTTTAAATTTTTTTTTTGTAATAACTACCACAGTTTTTTGAACAATAGTTTATTCTTCAACAGTTTCACTGCTTCTTCAAATAGCTGCACTACCCCAAACATACCCTAAATTTGTAATAACCATAATAGTTTTTTGAAAATTAGATTCTTTTGAAGTAGCTTCGCAACTACTTCTTGAAACAACTATAGCGGTCCCAAACAAACTCTTAATGTCTTTAGATGAGGGCTTAAATGGGCTCAGTGTCGACAGGTAGCCCTCTTCAACTGTATTAGCACACCTGCTAAGCTAATTTAAATCCCACAAATAAAACTCCAAATATAATTATTTCTTCATCTTCTCCATATTTGATCGCATTCAAAATTCAGTTCGGCGATTCAAATTATTTTCTCCCACAACATAGTTTCTTTTTCTCCTCTCACAATTTTTTTGGTAAGTTGCTTTTGGTAATCTAGATAGATTTCCCAATTCATTGTTGTATGCCAATGAATGAGATTTAAGTTAGTAGGATTTAGTAAATCCTATAAATCTAGAATCCATATTTTGTAAATTCTGAAAGGTTTAAATCCCGAAAACTATTTGACAACGTATTTCGTAAATCTTGTGAAACTATTTGGCGATCTCTGCCAGGATTTAAAAATCCACTTCGATTGTTAGACTTTAATAACAAATCACACTAGGATTTAATAAACCATTTAAATTTGATTTCTTAAAACATTTCATAATAGTCAAAATCTGTTAGCTTCTTAAATTCAATTCACACTTTTATTTCAAATTATAATAATTAATAATTATATATTTATTAATCTATTTAATTATTAATAAAATTTTAATTAAATTAATTATTAAATAGAAGTTTAACTTATAAAAAATAATTAATTCATTATTAATTATATTAATTAAAATTACTTATAATTTTATTGAACGAGTAAAAAATTCATATTTATTTTTATTAATTAGTAATTAACTGATAAATATAAATTTATTTAATTATAATTAATCTCATAATATTTTAATTCATCACTAATTATTAATCAATTAAATTAATAAAATGAACTTAAATAACTCGCATTTCCCTCCTCTGAACTTAAATAACTCGCATTTCCCTCCTCTCTGTTTCGTACAAAACCATCTCCTTGGTCACCGAACCCTCGGGATACAGTCGCCATTGGAGCTAACTGAGAACTCGACGAAGGGATCGAGGCTTACAGAGAACCGAAACTTCCATTTTCCTCCTTCTGCTCCTCGCCTACACGAAACCATTGAGGAAGGTAAATTCAGGTCTTCTCTTTCGCTCAAAGCGTCCGTCCCGGATTTACAAAATCTACTGATTCACGGGACTTAAGGCCGAAATCCTTGAAATTCGGATTTTTCAAATCCGAGGCTTTATTTTGTCCAAAATGACCGTCTGGCCAGATTTAGGTTAAATCCTGCTCTAAACCCGTTTCCAGACAGGTCCTTTCGAGATCGAGGGCATTCTTTTTCGGACAACCCCTGTTTTGATTACTGCTATTTGAAGTAAATGGAGCGCTTCAGTTCCCAGCTATACGAAAAATATATCAATCTCAAGGTATTTCCCCTGCATCTGTAATTTAATGCAGTATTTATTTGGCGGTGTATGACCTTTTTCGTGTTTTAAATTTGTTTACACTATGTTGGTTCATGATTGGCAGAAGAGGAGGTTCTCTGAAATTGAAGAGAGTAATAAAAAAATAATCTCTGAGACATTGCAATATCAGTCAGGTATTGAGGTTTTCTAGAGTTGAGTTCTCCATGTTCTTGGCTTTTGCCTTTACCGGGAAGGAAGCCAGATCACGGTCTTTTTTTTGCAAGTTGTTTGATGGTTAACGTAAAAGCTGCTCAGTTCAATTTTTATTCTAAACTTTTTCCTTTTTTTTTTTGGGTCATCTTATGTTAGGCTTTTTTTTTGTCACGTTGGAGATTCATTTTGATTTTTAGTGACTGATATAGCTAAATATCTTGCAGCCAGTGATCATCTCATAGAAGATTTGAAAAATGAAAATGACAATCTGCGTGAGATGATGTAAGTATCAGTATAGATGTAATTGTGAATAAATCCTCTGGAAGCTTTATGCTATCTTAGAGATCAAGTTAGAGAGCGGAAATTCTAATTTACATATTGGCTGTTTGCAGAGTGTCCTTGCTGGAGCAATACCAAGAGAGCCAGAAGCTTCTGCTTCAAGAGAGACAGAAAAGTTTGTACCAATTTTGTTCACTGGATGTCATGTTCATATTCCTGTTACTTACCTTTTAACTCCCGCGATTCGTAGGGTTCATTCTAAATTAGTCATCTTCATCCTTAGAACTTGCTAAATATTGCTACATTTAGTTGTTTTGAATCATTAAATAATTCAGTTTTACTAATCATTGGAAGTGCTTTGAAGAAAATTGTCATGCAATTTGATTTGTGCTAGCTTCATACTGTATGCAGTTTGTATAGACCACTTTCACTATCAATTATAACTGGTGATGTGTGTTTCTGGAAATGTCAAGATTTATCTTGCAAAGATTATGATGCTTCTTTGATGCATAATTTTTCTGTGTTATTAACTTATGCTTGTACTGGATTCAGTGGTTTTTGAAATAATTACTTGTGGCATATATTAATATTTGTTATGATCTTTCGTTAAAAGACTATTTTTTGGGTAGAATATAGAAGTTATTTGATTGCAATATAATTGCAAGGCTAGTTTATCTTCATTTGATATTTTTTTTAGAACATAACTTATTTTGCTGTTTTATCAGCAAAATCACTCTCCATTGAAGTTGGGACACTTAAAGAGAAATTAGCACAGAAGAATGATAATGTAGGAAGTACACCTTCGGGTTCTCTCTGTGGAAATGCTAGCATCAGGTTAGAGCACACAAATGGACGCTTACCCATGAACAACTCTCCAGATACACCATCAGGAGTGAAGCCAGTTCAAAGTGAAAATGCTGCTGTCATTCTCCATGAAATTGATAATGAGAATAGATTGGTGGTAAGCTGAAAACTTTTAGATTCAGTTGATTGCATTCTTCTTATTTTAGACGCTGCCTGCTTTTTGGAAGTTTATTTTGCCATTCTGTTTGCTTCATCATAAGCGTATGAATGTATCTTTTCAGCCAGACTGTTGCAGAAGAGCCAAGACAAATTATGGTATACTTACTGTTGTGAATTCCACATACATTTTCTGTTATCCTTCTTTTTAATTTTCTATATCATTTGTTTCTTTGATCCCGTCTATAACATTCCTGGAACTACAGCTGATGGAAGTTGTAGCCCTTGCGCATTTCATACTCTTGTGGAGCAACTAGTAGGCATGAAAGTTTCTGTGGAATGCCAAACTGAAGGACTATTCTTCTCAGTTATCCATCAAATGAGTGGTAAATTTTAAGTGCCGTGGAAATTAATGATTCTTGAAATTTTCATATATTACCATGCTTATCTGTGTGTGTGTGTAAAGTGAGTGAGACATGAGAATATGATATGGGCTTTTCTTCTTCTAGAAGTAAAGTTACTATTCTACCCCCATCACCTCTTTTTCGTTTCTACCACTTTGCATAATCTTGAAACTCAATATTTCACATAAATTATATATACAACATAAGGATTATTTATGGATATTTTATTTTTATTTTTTATTTAGCCATTCATTAATTTGTGGAATATACAATAAGGATAATCATATGCTATATAGAAGTCATTTTGAAAGCTTTATTTTGCAGATGTTGCCAATCAAAACCTTCCAATACATGATAGATATCATCAGCTGCCCCTGTAATAATTTAAGGACTGCACTTTACGATAAAAATATATATTATCATGGAGTTTGAACTAGTCATTCTAAAATTTTGATGCATTCAATTAATATGATTAACATTTTTTAATTTGTTTTGAAATATGCGTGTTACTACTTTTAATTATCTTAAGGAGAATGGCTAGTTTTGATTATTTATTTTAAGGAAATGCTATCAAAATTTTATATCGAGTAGAATGAGGAATTATTTCTAGGAGGAGAAAAGTACAATTTTGATAGGGAGTAGTACGATGAGATCCCTCCTATGGAGCCTAACCATACATGCATATGCGGGATATGGTCTTAATTCAAAATGAAGGATTCTAGGAACTGTCATTCTGATGATGTGAGCTAGATGCCTTAACCTCAATAGAAAGAGGGAGCTAATTATGGTGAAATTTTTATAATACCATCTAATTATAATTGTAAAGGAAGTGATATTTTTTCTTTTGTATATACTTTAGTTGTGCCCAGTATGTTTTCATGTCTTATATTTTTGAAGAATTATTGTATTTAGTCTTTATCTCAGTTCATATTTTGTTTTTTCTTATTGTAAAATTTCTGTGTAAAAATAGAAGCTTAATTTAGTACTTAATGATTGGAAGGCAGCCAACCACTGGTGAGATCGTGGAGAAGCAATCATGTGGGAAAATGTTAAATGTTGAACTCTTGAAAATGAGATCTAGCCATAGATTCAAGGGATGGTTGGGTCTCCAGTACTTCTTATATTTTAGAAGAGGATACAGTGGTTCCAAGATATAAGCACGTGTCATAATGATTATTAGACAATTCCAACTAGTTGAATGTGGAAGAAATTTCTGAAATAGACTTTAAAATATTCTCGTATCATTATCGTTTCAATGTCTATGTATTGTAGGCTCTGGTGAGAAAGGTGAGATGTTATTGTGAGATTTTTTACTTTCAAATTTCTTTTTAGAATAATTATATTATATATACCACAACATTGCTATTTTTTTTATTTTTAGAGTTTATTGTCAATTATTTTTGCTATTTAATGGAAAGGTGTTTGGGCCTTTGGACTAAAGAGCACACCTTGCATCCCAAAGGCAGGCAAATAGATTTAATATGAAAAGCATATTCATAGTTTTGTTTGGTAATATTGTGTTGTCCTACATTGTTTGGTACAAATTATGTTACTTTTAGTCTATAAGATATGAACAAGTTGATCTCCAAGTTTCTCGTGAAAGAGAGGTCATGAAGGAGATGGATGCCACTTTTGTAAGATACTTTGAGCACAAATAAAATTTGATAAAATTTGTATATTTCAAAAGAATAGCAACAATTAGATTTGCTAAACTAGAACTAAATGTTGCGCATAAAGATTTGTATAGATTAAAATTTACACCAAATGCAACGATTAAACCAATGCCAGGAAGGATCAATGAATTGGCCCTAAATAATATGAATTAGTATAATTGTGATGGTGATTTCATGGACAACTGTTGGGCCAACATATATGCTAGGAGTGCCCAAATTTGGGCATCACTTTATTCTTAGTTTTTTATTGTTCTTAAGAGAAAAAAATGCCTAGGTGTCATATCTTTTAAAATGCTTCAATTTGTATTTGCATTTGAAATTACATAATTTTAATCTTGGCTGCTATGAGATTTCACCTTGCTTTAGATTTCTTTTATTAAAATAAAAATTAACGAAGAGCTATATATTCTGTTAGCTCAAGGGTACCAAAGTCTTACCTATGTTTCTCTAGTGGATGATATTATTATTGATTTGGATGAATGAGGCTTACTAATGTTTGGTGTGTTGTTCTTTAAGGTCCAAAGGTGTCATTACACATAGCATGGTGAACATTACTTCAAACATATGGTGAAACATTAAAACTTCCATGGAGAATTTATTAAAAAATCAATAATATAGTAGTAATATCTTAGTACAACACTATCAATTTTATATGAATAGAATATAATTTTGCTATAATAAATTAATTATATGCATCAAAGGTACATGCAAAGTTACTTGTAAGATATAAATTTTATAATATAGGAGTTCATGGCATTTCAAATTTCACAAGTGAAAGCTAATGTGTTATTAGAATAAAAAGTTGTCAGTAATAAGAGTAAGTAATAGTTTCAATCAAATTGAAAGACATGACCAATTACTAATTTCTGACCTAAATAAATTAGTTGAAATAATTAAACCTTATAACTAACCTCTTTAATCTACAACTTACCTTTCAAAAGTTATCCTACATCTAACCACCTACTTATTGCATTAAAGAGTTCAACTTTAATATCAATGATAATCAAATAATAAAATGTAGATCCTAGATATTTTAGAAGGAAAATAGAAGTGTATGGATAAATACCCAACCCTTTAGCAATCACAACTAATTAAAATTAGAGTGTAATAATGCTTATACTTGAAAATGATGTCATCATTTATTCATTACATCTTACCTCGTTCATGAGGAGATGAAACCGCGATGTCGAGCAGAAGGGCCAGACACAATAAAAGTCGTGTGTCGACAACAACTCCAGAGATCTTTGTCAGGTACCGCGACTCGTGTGTACAAAAGAGATAAAGATGGAGACGTCGTTGGAAATGAAGTCGTTGAAGACAACGTCAAAGATAGAGAATGGAGATGTTGCTAAAGATGACGAGGATCGAAACATTATTGGAGACATAGTCGAGATGTAGAGAGCATCTTGGTACAAATGCAAAGAGGCCATAGCTGGCTTTGAGCTGAAAGATGAGCAGCGACTGCAATCGGAATTGATGACGATGGAGGATTTTAAGGTTAAGACTCTAATATCATTTAGAATTATTGAAAAGAATTTTATTTCTCATCCTGAACTATGCATTACACCTTGCTACATATATATAATACTTAAAAGAAACAAAATAAGAATTCCTCCAAATATAAGAAAGCAGGAAAAAAGAAATATTTAATAATGGAAACACAATTAGTGAAATATATTATGAGAAAAGGAAATAAATTCCTTCCTAATATATATTGACACTTTTTAATATATGTAATATAAGAAATAATATTTATAAAAGGATAAAAAATAGTTTCGAAAAACTAAATCCAGTTAATGTCAATTAGGACTTATGAATCAGGTAATATAATACCTTCAAAGATGAGATATGTATGATAAATAGGGCTTTGAAAGATCGTTACTGAAGAAAAACGTGAGTGAATTCTCAGAATTTGTTATTGAATTTTCAACTTTAAGGTTACATATATAGGTAAACCCGCCTCTCCTAATTTACAATCTTACCAAATGTAACTAGCCTAAACATGTAAAGGAAATAATTTTGAAATAAACATAAATAGGTAGAGAATAAAACTAATCAAGGAGTTTCCCAACTTGTCTCCAAGTAATAGGGAGACCGATCCTTCTGTATTTCCACACCCCCTTCAAGTTGGGTTGTAGATTTTGTAGAGAACAAGTTTGGTATTAAACTCTCAGAAGATACTTAACGCAAGAGCTTTGGTAAAGACATCGATAAGTTGTTAGTGTGTCGGCATGTAGTTTAGCTATATAAAAAACATGAGAAGGAATTCTTAAAATTCTTTTTATTCAATTTTCAACTTTAAGGTTACATATATTTGTAAACCTACCCCTCTTAATTTACAATCTTACCAAATATATCTAACCTAAACATGGAAAGGAAATAATTTTGAAATAAACATAAATAGATAGAGAATAAAACTAATCAAGGAGTTTCCCAAATTGTCTCCAATTAATAGGGAGACCGATCCTTCTATATTTGCACACCCCCTTCAAGTTGGGTTGTACATATTGTAGAGACCAAACTTGGTATTAAACTCTGAGAAGTTACTTAACGGAAGAGCTTTGGTGAAGACATCAACAAGTTGGTGTGTCGACATGTAGTTTAGCTATATAATTCTACAATTGACCTTTTTCAGAGAAAAAGTGCTCGCCAATTCTTTATATTTATTATTTTTATGATGCATAGGGTTCTTGGTAATACTAATAGCTACATGGGTGTTACAAAATATTTATATAGGCTTATCAGAGGTACTCCCTAATTCCCTAAAAAATTTATGAATCCAATTCCTTTCACAAATTTCTAAGGCAACTGTCATATACTCTGCTTCTGCACTGCTTTTAAAGATAACTTGTTTTTACTTCTCTATATGACCAAATTTCCCATACATAGGAGCAATAACTTGTGGTTGATTTCCTGCCAGTGAGCTTCATGGCCCAGCTTGCATCAGTGTAGACTTTTACCTCTCTATTTATGGTTCTCTGAAGCAATAATCACCGACAATCTTCTTGAGAAACTTTAGGATCCTATACGCCATCTCCAAATGATATCCGGTTGGGTTATTCATATGTTGGCTCACAATACTGACGGGGTATGCAATATATTACCTAATATGTGATGGTTAGATGAGTTTTCCTACCAATCTTTGATATATTCCTTCATTTGCATCTATACTTTATTCTCTAATATTAGACTTCTTGTTGGATTCGTTGAAATATCAACAGATTTGCATCTAATCATCCATGTCTCCTTTAACAAATCTAGGATGTATTTTCTCTGTGATATAACAATGCCTTTCTTGGGTCTTGCTAC